CTAGGAGTCGTTCACAAGCACTGGCTAGTGATTTAAGACGTCTAGCAAAAGACCTTTCCGAGACACAACGCAGCTTGGTACATTTTCCATTGCAGTTCTACAAAGTTGAACGAAATATTGAGCTTTTAAAGCAACTAATAAAATCTGTGGATGGACAACCACTGCAAAAGGACACCGTTTCCAGCGATTCCTCATCAGAAACTTATGTTAAGAAGAGAGAGGTTTGTCCCGAGAAATTTATGGGAAAGGATTCTGCTTATGGATTCCCATTTTTTTATAGGAAAGGTTTCGAGGGAGAAAATTGCACAGACTTTGTTCCAATTGATGAACTTGTGACTATGATTATGACATCACCAAAGGAACTATCACCTGAAAAGCTGAGAAAAGTGTTTGAAGGAATTGCCACACATTATCCAAGCGTTCCTGTAATATTTGTGTCAAACAAAACATTAAAGTTCAAGAGGCTAAGAGACGAAGGTTTAAATCCAACGTTCATGGCATTTGATGACCTTACACATGGAGAAACATGGTCCAAGTTACTCAAGATGGTGGCCACACCCTATGCACTCTTTGCACCAGATATCACTTACTTCACTGATGATGTTAATCTTGAACGCCTTGTACGGGTACTGAGTGAGAACAGGGATACCATCCTTGTAGGGGGAAGCCAAAAGAATCAACGGGGGGAGTGGGACAATAGCTGTCGTCAAGTGCAATTCAGAAATTGGACTGCATACTTTTCAGATGGGTATCACCACTCATTTAATGACTGTGTACAATGTGATGTGCTGCTTGGTCCATTTATGGCAAAAACCAAAGAACTCCAGGATTTTGGAATTGATGAAAAGTAAGTAAAAATTACAATTCAGTATAAAAATTAAAGTTTTATTGGGAGAAGAGGAGAAACGGAAAGGAGAACAGTTTTGGGTGAGAAAGGGTGCTTCCTGAGTTGTTTGGTTGTTTTTTAATTACTGTGAATATATGAAAATCATATATGTGAACTACAGATAAAGACGTGAAAATTAAAGTGGTCTTCGCAGTAGTGAACACTACTTGAGTGGTAGTGAAAACAAAACCTGAGAAAAATTCAGGATTGTACGGGATTTGAACCTACTCTTCCAACTGAACTAACAAATCGTTTTCATTCGCAGTTTACATGTATGATTTTCATATCTTCACAGTCATTTACTCATCACTTCATGGGTTTATTTGGAACCAACATAATAACCAGTTCCCAGTTGGCTTGTTAGCTCAGTTGGTAGAGCACTGCACCGGTATCGCAGAGGTGATGGGTTCAAATCCTGTACAGGCCTCACTTTTTTCATGCCTTACTTTCACTACTCCTCAAGAAGTGTTCATTACTGCGAAGATCACTTTCATATTCACTGGTTGTTTTTGTTCACAGGGATGGAAGGTGGTCAAAATTTTTTGGGTAGCTTCATTTAAGATGGTGTACCACCTTAGAGTAGAATTCTAAGGAGTCTTCTTAAAAATCCTTACAGAAAGTTTTCATGGTGTATTTGACTTCTACCTCCACCCTCTGCTATTTTGTGGACCGTTAATGAAAACTGTCAATCTGGTTTGATAAGTTCAATAATTCAACTACTATTTCTTGTTTTCCAGATTACATTTCGGTGCCTTTCAAGACTTATTCTGGCGATTAAAACTCAAACGTCCAGAGAAAGTTGTTGCCAGCTGTCCGGATGTCATGTTCGATATATATGAGCGAGAAGTTCCAGATGAAAAATATGATGCCTTGGCCCAGAAATGGGATGTGAAGAAATGGGTGGAGTCTAATGGGCAAGTGCGTTGGTATGGGTGCCGAAGAGGAGGGCATGCCCGTGATAGTAAATCGTCCTGTGGTATACCAGCCACAGGACTCGCTGTTCCTCCTTGTGACTTGGAGAATCTTGCTGACATAGTCAAGTTTATCATGAAGGAATGTGAAAATGCTGGGATTTACTGTCAACTTAATGCAGGAACTCTATTAGGTAATGTACTCTTGTGCCTATTTTGTAATAGGGAGGTGTAGTTCAAATTGAGTCTGTTTCCCCCCTTTTGGGATTCAAACAGGTTTGTCTTCAGAATGGAACAGACAAAAAAATTCAGAAGAAGATAATTTTGACCTTGGTCACTCCCACATATTCGATAATTTTGTGTACCGGTATAGTGTAGAAATACCTTTTTGTTGCAAAGAAAGGAAATTTCTTTGAGTGTGAGTAGCTGCTGTTTTAAGGCTGTTGTGTAATATCAATTATCAAGCTAAATAAAAATAAATTGATGTGAAACAAACATCATGCAATGAAATGAAGGAGGTCAAGGAGACACCATTGTTATGGTCATGACCACCACCATCATGGTGGTTGAACAAAATTGACATCATTTTCATGGCATCATCTCCTATTACTTAACTTTCGTTTGCTTCTGTTTTAGGAGCTGTTAAATTCAAAAAGGTTTTGCCATGGGAGCGCGATGCTGACATCTATTTTCTTTCGGAGAACTACACAGCAGTTCAAAAGCTTCGTCCAAGATTCGAAGCAGCAGGCTATAAATTTGATGATAGAAACGGAACTGAATGCTGCACAGATGGACGAAAGACATCCGGCATTTTTGTAATCTATGGAAATGGCTGGGGTGTTGACTTTTACGGTAGACCTAGACTTGAGTCCGAGATGCTTGTAGCTGATGGTCAGCAGCCAACTAAAGTGATGTTTGCTGGTCAGTGGGTCATTGCCACGCGCAATCCAGGACTTTCCTCTCGTAATCGATATGGACCCAACATGTATCATCATGTAGAGCATTGGGAAGTTGTAGGAAACGCAAATGGGGATGCGCTGTACAAATCGGGTGTTTGGACCAAATGTTCCAAACCTGGACACATGGGGTGTCTAGACCAGTTCCGCACTGATGGCGATCTTCAATTTGGTGACTACTTCATGACTTAATTTTTTTTCACAGCAAGGACATGGAATGAGCAAACAGTGGCAAATTTTATGAAATGCATCAAGGTAGCTGTTTATGGAAATGATCTTTAAAAAGCTAAGAAGTGGGGTGTCGTTTGCACAAATTGTTTAGGAATATTACAAGGGTTAGATAAGGGGCCCAACATGATTTGTAGTAAATAAAGGTTGAGTAAGATAGAAGATAGACAAACAAGGACATGGAGGAGGGCTTGTTGCCTCCACATTCTCTTTGCTGAGTATTCAATTAACATGTCAGTGAACTTGTGGAAGTTTTAGTTGTTGTGTTCTTAAAATATAAAATTAGCATGAAAGGTGTTTATCTCCTTATATACATTTATACCTGTTACTTTATTTTGGGATTGATGTACCTTTTTACTATGTGCAGCTAACAAATAATCATCGACATCAATGAGAAATCAATGAGTGTGTGATAACTCATTGATGTCTTTATGCAGCGTTTACTGATTAATTACGAGTGACCAAGACAGAATTTCTCCTTTCGATATCAACATAATATCAAACAGACAAGTGATGTGAATAACAAAAAGTACCAATTAACAACATGAGACAAACAAAATCTATGAAATAAAGCTCTGAAAACTGCATATCTAAATTATATCCCGGTTTAGAAATATCACAAATGTGTTAATTAACATTTCATTTAACTTTACTGAAATATTCAGCCTGAGATGTAATTTAGATATTCAATTTTCAGATCTTTATTCATAACCCAAATAGATTTTGTTATGTCAACGATTACTAACTAAGAACACATAGTGTGGTCTGCCCATGGTGTCAGTATCTGAGCAGCTGCATACCTACCCCTCCCCAACCCAGCTTAACTCTGACTTGTTATCAGTTTACTGTTGTTGGGTTAAGGGAGGGGAAGGTGCGCAGTTGATCAGATACCGGTATTGATCCACTTAATCTTGGGCAAACAACGAGTTTGTCTCACCAACAATGGAGCTCAAATTACACAACTTTCATAATGGCGGACGACGCGCGGGACTGGTAATTACTCAAACATGACATCGAGGTCAGAAGATAACAACTGTAAACAAAAGATCAACAAAGGTTGAATAGGTTATCTGTTTTGACTCGATTCGGTCGAATTATTTCCAATAAGAGGAAATGCCGACTCCTTGTTGTATTCCAGAAAGTAGGAAGAAAGGATAACGGAAAGACGATGGGATAAAAGTGTCTTACTTTAAATTTCCGACCAAGAATCCGGTGGAAAAAAAATGGCTACACGCAAGAAGAGGAGACGAGGGAATGCTCTTCAAGGTAACTGAAGATAAAAAGATGTGCTCCCGGTATTTTAGGGAAGGTGATATTAAAAAAATCTCTCGCCGGCAAGAATGAATTAAGAGATGGAGTTGTCCCTTCTGTGTTTTCGTAGAACCTAAGTCAGTGCGTTTTCATGACTCGGCGGTCTCTCAGATAACGCTTACGTTTGTTGGGTAGGAGTGCTATCTCGCCGAGCTGTTTCTTGCCTTTACCGCTATTTCTCTTTGCTGTAGTTTCTGTTTCTCTCTGCTTTTGCTTCCTCCTTTCTTCAGAAAACGTTTGCTTCTGGGTATCCATTTTCCGTGCTTTCTCTTTCTGCAGAGTAAGCTGCTTCTGGGCCTCCTCCTTTCCTTTGGGCTTCTTTTTGGGCGCAACGCCCATCTGAAGTAGCTATTTTGTGACAGGCACAGGACCAGGACCTTGAAAAGCGTTCAGTTGCACGAATTCCATTGATTGAGACTTCAATTAGTCAAACTCTTCCATCGGTTACACTTTTACCATTCTCTGAAATCCCCTTTCGACCTCTCATGTCTGAGAACACGAGCTGTCTCTATGACATTCACAACAGGGGAGAATTTCTTTTCACACGTGGTATCCTTCAGGTCATCAACTTCTCTCCAAAAGGGGTCTACTCGGATTGGATTTTGTGACTCTTCACCTTCCAAGTGCCAATCCTCTTGGATAGTTTCCAGTTAATGCAATCCCCAATCGTCACCCAGTTGGTCAAGATCCACCCCAACATTCACTTTGCCGGCCAAAACGCAATTCATTCCAGAATAAAAAAACGTTGGATACAATATGATTTTTGATAATACATCCAATAGGTTGAAACTTACAGTATTAGCTTAGCGTGCTTTCTCCTTTTCACGTGACGCGTGATTGGTTAAAAGATTCTGGATGAGTGATTTTAATAGGAAAATTTAGCGTGATATGTAAATGTATTTTGCCACCCTCATCTTTCATCCTCGAATGGCAGAATAATCTGAACGGGCGCATTTGCGTGAACATTGCGAACTTGTAATTGGTTTCGCGACTCGATAAATCTAGTCATGGTGGAATTAATGAGCTTCTCTGGGTACTTCAATCTCAAGAGGATCCCTCTAAAGTTCTCATGCTTCAGCAAATAGATGTGGTGAGAATGAAAGACAGTTTTTGCACGGTTTTTTGTATGGCCTTTCCGCTCTAGCGGACAAAACTAGATTTGTCCCAAAGGACAAACTTTGTCAAATTAGACAATTGGGGCAAATTTGTCGGCGCTGCGTTCGAAGATTTGTCCGCTTCGGCCAAAATTTGTCAAGTCATGACAAACCATCTGCATTTTTAAATGTTCATGATGAAAAAAAATTTGTCTTGTAAACAACTTTTTCGCCCGAGCGGAAAGGCCCATAGTCATCGGTAATAACATACATATATTTTTCTCTATCTTTCTTTCGTTATTCGCTGCAAATACTGAAATGACCGGCAGCCGAGCACGGTCTCAAATAGACTAAATGCCCGGCAGTTAGTAATGTTTACAGAAGACTATCTTATAATAGTTTATCTTATTTATTGTATTGTAACCAGCAGCGTAAAAGCGACTTGTCTTTATTAAGAACCTACGAAGCTAACAACGGGCGAGCTGAAAACAACCCTTTGGGAAACACCTCGGGGTTCCCATGTGCTGACACGTACTTCGAGTGATAATAAGTTATTATATGACTCAATAAACGATTCAAGTCTTCTTTCGAAAACGTCATGGAGATACAATCGAAGTATGAGCAATATTGCGTGTTTAACCAAAGGTATTAGATATATTAGGAATTTTGATCTAAAACTAAGTTTACAAGCAGAGCTCCTTATGTTTTCTTTTCTTTGCACGTGCATGCGATCTATTGAGTTAAACGCTATTGGGCTTTGCACCTACTTAGATGGGTCACTTTGCTCTAAGTGGCTAAGACTGGGAGACACTGAACTAGGGAAATTGATTATGGACGGGTGCAATGTCGAGTCCACTGAACTCACTTTGTACTCATTTAAACGCCATTTAGATATGCCCAACACGACTTAAAATTAATGTAGGAAGTTGTCATGGCACTGAAATCTGGTAATTTATCTGCAACATGTGCCATGCATACACCATGCATTCCCTTCTCTTCCTGCCCTGTACTGTGAAATGTCCCAAAAATTGAGTGTTTTTTTTTTTTCACAGAATTTGAAGGTGTTCTAAGAGCCACGACAGATCCTACAAATTAAGTCTTGTGCATAGCCATTTCAACAACCAGCACCATGAGAAAACTGCAGCTCTTCTTTGTGACAGTTGTCATCTTAACCCTTGTATTAGTGAAATTTTTCTCATCATATCTTCACATTACAACTAGGAGTCATTCACAAGTACTGGTAAGTGATTTAAGACGTCTAGCAGTAGACCTTTCTGAGACACAGCGCAGCTTGGTACATTTACCATTGCAGTTCTACAAAGTTGAACGAAATATTGAGCTGGTAAAGCAACTGATAAAATCTGTCGATGGACAGCCACTGCAAAAGGACACTGTTTCCAGCAATTCTTCTCCAGAAACTTATGTTAAAAAGAGAGAGGTTTGCCCTGAGAAATATATGGGAAAGGATTCTTCTTATGGATTCCCATTTTATAGGAAAGGTTTTGAAGGAGAAAATTGCACAGACTTTGTCCCAATTGATGAACTTGTGACTATGATTATTACATCACCAAAGGAACTATCACCTGAAAAGCTGAGAAAAGTGTTTGAAGGAGTTTCCACATATTATCCAAGTGTACCTGTGATATTTGTTTCAAACAAAACATTGAAGTTCAAGTGGCTGAAAGAAGTAAGTTTAAGACTTACTTTCATGGCATTTGATGACCTTACACATGGAGAAACATGGTCCAAGTTACTCAAGATGGTGGCCACACCCTATGCACTCTTTGCACCAGATATCACTTACTTCACTGATGATGTTAATCTTGAACGCCTTGTACGGGTACTGAGTGAGAACAGGGATACCATCCTTGTAGGGGGAAGCCAAAAGAATCAACGGGGGGAGTGGGACAATAGCTGTCGTCAAGTGCAATTCAGAAATTGGACTGCATACTTTTCAGACAGGTATTACCACTCGTTTAATGACTGTGTACAATGTGATGTGCTGCTTGGTCCATTTATGGCAAGAACCAAAGAACTCCAGGATTTTGGAATTGATGAAAAGTAAGTAAAAATTACAATTCAGTATAAAAATTAAAGTTTTATTGGGAGAAGAAAAGAAATATAAAGGAGTACAGTTTTAAGTGAGAAAGGGTGCTTCCTGAGTACTTGGGTTGTTTTAAACAATTGTGAATTTATGAAAATCATATACCAGCAATGAACACTACCCAAGCAGTAAAAAAATGAGCATGGAGGTCTGAAATGGTTATTGAGGCTGGGTATTAGTTTTGGGTAAGGAAATATCATTAGCTAAGTCTTGAAATGAGGAAGAATTCTAAAGAGTCTTTTTACCTCCACCATAAGCTAGTTTGAGGACTGTTAATGAAAACTGTCAATCTAATTTGTTCGGCTCAATAATTCAACTACTATTTCATGCTTTCCAGACTACATTTTGGTTCCTTTCAAGACATATTCTGGCAATTAAAACTCAAACATCCAGAGAAAGTTGTTGCCAGCTGTCCTGATGTCATGTTCAATATATATGAGCAAGAAATTCCAGATGAAAAATATGATGCCCTGGCCCAGAAATGGGATGTGAAGAAATGGGTGGAGTCTAATGGGCAAGTGCGTTGGTATGGGTGCCGAAGAGGAGGGCATGCCCGTGATAATAAATCGTCCTGTGGTATACCAGCCACAGGACTCGCTGTTCCTCCTTGTGACTTGGAGAATCTTGCTGACATAGTCAAGTTTATCATGAAGGAATGTGAAAATGCTGGGATTTATTGTGAACTTAATGCAGGAACTCTATTAGGTAATGTGCTCTTGTGCCTATTTTGTATTGGGGAGGTGCAGTTCAAATTGAGTCTGTTACCACCCCTTTAGGATTCAAACAGGTTTGTCTTCACAATAGAACTGACAAATAGTTGGTGACAGATAGTTTTAACCTTCATCATACCCATACATTCTATAATTTTATGTACCAGGAGTATAGTGTAGAAATACCTTTTGGTTGGAAAGAAAGGAAATTTCTTTGAGTGTGAGTAGCTGTTGTTTTAAGGCTGTTTTGTAATATCAATTATCAAGCCAAATGAAAAGAAACTGATGTGAAACTAACATTATGCAATGAACTGAAGGAGACACCATTGCTATGGTCATGACCACCACCATCATGGTGGTTGAACAAAATTGGCATAATTTTCAGTGCATCATCTCATACTAGTTAACTTAAGTTTGCTTCTGTTTTAGGAGCTGTTAAATTCAAGGGGGTTTTGCCATGGGAACGTGATGCTGACATCCAATTTCCTTCAGAGAACTACACAGCATTTCAAAAGCTTCGTCCGAGATTTGAAGCAGCAGGCTATAAATTTGACGATAGAAAAGGAACTGAATGCTGCACAGATGGACGCAAGACATCCGGCATTTTTGTAATCTATAGAAATGGCTGGGGTGTTGACGTTTATGGTAAACCCAGGCTTGAGTCTGAGATGCTTGTAGCTAATGGTCAGCAGCCAACTAAAGTGATGTTTGCTGGTCAGTGGGTTACTGCCATGCGCAATCCAGGACTTTCTGCTCGAAATCGATATGGACCTAATATTTATAAGCATGTAGAGCATTGGTATGACATAGGGATGAAGAGTGGGGTTATGCACTACAAATCAGGTGTCTTCACCAAATGTCCACAGCCGGGACACATGGGGTGTTTAGACCAGCTCCGTCCTGATGGCAATCTTCAGTTAGGTGACAGCTCTGTCACCTAAATTGCTTTACATGCCAACTCCAACATGTAACAAGCAAACAGAGGCAAAATGAAATGGTCTTTCACAGGCCAAGAAAAAAGATATCTTTTGCACAAACTATTTAGGAATACAGCAAGGGTTAGACAAGGGGCCCAACATGATTTGTAGTAAATAAAAGTTACACGAGATGGAAGATAGACAAACAAGGACATGGAGGAAGACTTGCTGCTTCCACATTCTCTTTGCTGAGTATTTGATTAACATGTCAGCGAACTTATGGAATTTCAAGTTGCAGTGTTCTTAAAATATAAAATTAGCTTGAAAAGTGTTAATCGATGTTTATGTCCTCAACATTGTACACATTTATACCTTTGTTACTTTATTTTAGTATTGATGTACCGTTTTACTATAAGTAGCTAACAAATGATCATTGACATCAATGAGAAATTAATGTGTGTGTGATAACTCATTGATGTCTTTATGGAGTAATTACTGATTAATTAAAAGAGCACAAGACAGAATTTCTCCTTTTGATATCAACAAAATATCAAGCAGAATAGGGACGTAAAAAAAAAAAAGTATCAATTAGGGGGATTATTACATGATCCATACCAAATTCTCCACACCAGGAGGTAGTAAGGAGAATCACTAATGAGATCTTGGGAGTGAATTTGGCTAAGGCCTCAATAGTGAGTAAACATTGAATATTTAACAAGTTTTAACAAACTCCCTTCTTGACTTAATATGACAGAAAAAGGTATGGTCTGCACAAAATTTATACCTATCTAGGTCTAATTAACAATTTGCACATCAGAGCAGGGTAATCATCTGACAAGGATTCAAAATACTTTACTCCACAAGCAGATTATGATTTGCCAAACTGAAGTTGACTGACTCAAAAACTCTCCAGGGCTACATGTAGTTTAATAATAGTAGGCATAAAGAAATTTTTTTTCCCCTCACAGCATAAAGAAATGATATAGTTAGAATCAGTTAAACTTAAATTCAGAAGAATTATTGTGTTTATTTGTTATTAATTCTACAGAAGCTTTCAACCCTGTTGGCTCATTAATGACATCAATATCTTAACCTTTCTAGGAGCCCTTATGAGACACAGATTACCATCCAGTACTAGCAACTGTCATGAGGAATCAACCAAATACCATACTGGTTACCTAGATCAATTAGAATACCTGTTGACAAGTCTGAATTTGTAGTTTTCTTCCAACCAAAACTCAGGCTCTGGCACATGTTAATGACTCTGACAAGTTCAAGATTATGTAATGTGATTATATAATAAATTTCCTGTTGATTCTAATCTATAAGAAGTAAAATCAAAACACAGGTTTCCACCTCTCTACCTCCCCTTTCTTGCCTAAAGTATCACATCTGACTTTAAGGTTTTTTTAAAAAGGTTTCCTTCCCTTTCTTTTTTATCTACTGCAAGGATCCCAGGTTTCTTAATTTCTCTTTCATTGCTGTTCTGTTGTTAACTTCTCACAGTACCATAATCAAAATTAGTAAAAGATAGCTGATACATTTACAGTGGCCTCAAGGATTTGCCAAGTTGTCCAGAAAAACCTATTTTTGCACAGACAAAATTCATTTTTGGCCAGACAAATTCTTTACATGTGTAAAGAAGCAGGCAAATTGTTTGGCTATCCAAAAGTTGATAATACAAACCCTATGTTGCCCGGCCGCTATTTATGCACTAGGCTAATATGAAAACTACTAAACAGTCAAATGATGCATACTAGCATAGCTATTAATAACAACTTGTTACAGACATTTATCCAAAAGAACACATTTACATTGTATTCAGTCAGTAATGTCACTGCTTTTTCTTAAATACAATGGCACATACATTTGCACAATCTACAACTGACTTTCAAAGCTAGCATGCAAGTTAATGCATGAAGGTTCAGTAACTGACCATAAATTCGATGAACCATCATGCATGTTTCTTCTTGTTTCTTTTTACCATTAATCATCAGATGGACCCACATAATCGTCGGCTGGACCATGGGCATTGCTTCGGTCATAGCCGGTGTTTCCACCACCACCCCCTCCGCCTGATTCAGCAACTGGACGCCTATAGACACCTATCTCCTTATGACAATTTGGACATAGATGAGCAACATCCTTGGCACAATCAGTACAAAATGGAATGCAACAACAACTGAAAGCAGTAAAATTTATATCATTAGGGTGAAATTCCTCATGAGCACCCATTCGCCATTAACCTTTTACACTGTAACATCAGTATGCATATTCTCCATACTGTTCTCTATATATTTCCTGAGTGCTGAAAAGGAGAATTTGTTGAACAATCAGGAGCTACTTTGGTTGGAGTTCATTCCTTTATTGCCATTACCTTAAATGTTTAATTCGGGGGTAACAGTTTGAGGAGAAATAATATTTATGCCACTCTTATGAGTTTAAGGGTTTACTTAACCCTCTAACTCCCAAAATCTGATTGTTAATTCTCCCCTGTAGCTGCTGCACATGTCCTTGTAAATAAGTTATGAGAATTTGGTGCTAGATCAAGATAGCAGCTTCTACCTGATAAGTTTGAATATTCTCATTAACAGTTTGCTAAAGAATGTATGGATATTGTAGGGAGAAGTTTTATGTTAATCACTTCTGGGAGTTAAAGGGTTAATGTTTCATTTAAGGGTAATATTGAAAGGCACTTTAGATGCTACTCACTCTTAGGGTTCAAAGGGCTAACCATACATTCACTATTGAGTGATCACTCGTATAAAAGTTCTCATGTTATTCAATACTCCCTGTGTATATTGGTGTAAAGAGTTTATGAAATGGAACTATCCTTCTCACTCTTAAAATTACCTGTTACATCACCACTGGTTTCTTTCCCAAGGGCTCATATCACCAAATCCAGTTTCCTGGACTTACCATCCAAAGAAGAATTGTAAAGTATTAGTAAGGGCTGGATGTTTTTAAGATACTCCCTTATCCTAATGGATATCAGCAGTTGTTAAACCCTTCACCCTTAAGAGTGATTAGTAACTACTTTCTCCTATCAGTATTGCCCTAAAACAAACATTGAAGTCATGAGAATAATGGAAATGATCACCAACTAAAGCAGCTCTTGATTGTTAACCAAATTCTCTTTGTCAGTACCATGGGAAATAAATAGAGAACAGTATGGAGAAAATGTATACTGATGTTGGGCTGGAAAGGGTTAAAATGAACTGAATCTCTAAAAAATATGGAATTGCAATAGATTTGCCTTACTAGGCTATACTAAGCCATGCTATTGGTTGAGAAAACCTAGCCCTCACTCAACCAAACAGGTGTGATGTGAAATTTAAACTGATAGCAACTCAGTCACTTTCCTCCAACACAGGAGCAGGTTAATAGGTACCATAATAATTCAAAATCTTAGTTACTTTTAGTACCGCAAGAGAGGCACATGTTCGAAGTACGGAGCTTATCAGAGACAGAGCAGTTGTTTAATTTTTTTTTAAGAAAAAGCAGGATGTGCAAAACAAAGCTTTGATTTTTATTTGAGGAAGATCATGCAGACTGGAAATGGACTTCTTTTCCCAGGATCCTTCCTGGCTAGAACAACCAGCCAAGCAATGGTTGCAAAATTCTAAGACAAGATTATTTGTTTGAAGGAACTGTGCACTCATGTGGATGTGTATTATTAACATATATACATATATATATAAACTGACAGTTGAGAGACAGAGGCCACTGTTTTGTAACAAGGCATTAACTAAGCAATTAAAGGAATATGAAACACAGTTGATCTCAATGTACATGTACTCCAATAGTGCTGTTACTGAAACTGAATAGGGGCAGCTATTGGAATGAGGGTGACTAATTAATAGAGGTGCTGCATGTAATTAGAGTAGGGACTCTTGTTGACCAAAATAAATTCTAGGGGATGCATATTAGAGAGGAGCGCTCATTGAAATGAAGGGGCTAAATCTATTCATTAGGGTTATAAGTGGGATTCTCATTAGCTTTTCAGAAAAGCTAATGAGAATCCCACTTATAACCCTAATGAATAGATTTAGCCCAAACCAAACTAAAAGAGGGCTCTTTAAAATAAAGGAATCCATATTTTCCTTTATTTTAAAGAGCCCTCTTTTAGTTTGGTTTGATCCTTTGACCCAAAGAGTGACAGGCATCTAATTTCGCCTTACAATATCTGCCCAAATCACCGGTTAAGGTCATTAGAATAAAGAAAATGATCATTAACTAGAGACGCTCTTGATTGTAAAACAAATTCTCCTTTACAGAACATTAGGAAATATATAGAGGACAGTAAGGAGAATATGCATACTGATGTTAGGGTGTACAGAGTAAAGAGCATTCTGGCTTAAAGCACCCTATGTATAGAATACTAAAAATCCTTACCCAAAGCAAGACAAGATAAAACAGTACAAAAAGGTTGTGTTTCCAACACGGTGAACAAGCTGGGTAGAAATGGTAGCCCCACAGTGTGGACAGCCCATTGTTACAGGGAACTGTTTAAGAACAATGGGTTGAGGAAGCCCAACAGGCTGTTGGATCACTGTTAATGCTTGTGTCCCTGGTGCACCATATCCAGGCTAAAAGAGAGTCACATCGAGAAAGTTTGTTCATAGTTACAGGATAAGGTAGTATTATCAACTGAGTTAATAACATAAATTGGCCATCATAAAGAGTTTCAAAGCTGAGTGTTAACCCTTCATCAGAGTGATTGACGAAGGGCTAATATTCAAAATGTCAGCTTTAACACTCTTAACAGTGTCTAATTTACGTTATCAACCCAGTTAATAATATTAAATTACCCTGTTATATTCTCCCACCAATGCAGCACCACAATAGAAACTTATCCCCTTTATTATCAGGGATGTAGCTAAAGTTTTTTAAGGTGGGAATCTTGCAATGATAGGCGGGTATTTGGGCCGAAGGCCCACTCTAGCATGCCTTTGGCACGCTATACCTAGATTTGAAGGTATAAACAAATGAAATAAATAAATAACAATCTTCTGACAACATTTAAAAACATTTTGGAGAAAGAAGTAGTGCTTCACAGCCGGAAAAATCGCCTTCACAGCTGGGTAATTTTCCCTGCTTCCGGCTATTACCTACATCCCTGATTATTAGTAGTTACATTGACACTGAAACAACTAAGGCAGCCGGTTTTCTAACAGGAAGTGACAACAACCACTAACATATACGATCATAAATTTCGTTAAATAGGACCCCTTTGATTAAACACGCTCCTTGCGGTCAGCGTTCTCCCACGTTTTGGTCGAAACAGATACATGTACTCAAGGAACACGCTACATCGTATGTCGTCGCTCAAAAAAAAAAAATTGTCGTAAATTGTTTTCTTCTTGTGTGAATTTTGTGGACTGAAATAAAATTTCAGTATTCCCGATCACTTAACTAATAATTATACTGGGAAAGGCTTTTCTTAGCCCGATCTTTGGACGTACAGCTGAAGTTTAAAATGTCAATCGTTCGATTCGAATTCTCTTTTACGTTCAATTTTTGTAACAATAAACATACTCAATGCAGCCAGTCACAATGACTCAATG